TCTACTCTACTCTACTCTACTCTACTCTACTCTACTCTACTCTACTCTATTCTATTGTCATCCATCAGTGGTCCCACATATTAAAATAGATGCCAGAAGGTTTTGGCTTGTTTATTCTGAGAGAAAGACAAAGAGATATGCACAAACAGTTTGGTAAGCTTTTGAGTAAACAAGTCTTTCCTGGACTACTGAGTAGAAAAGCTACCAAGTCAACATCTCCTTTACAGGATCTATCTGAGCAGCTGCAACTCAGTAGCCAGGAAGAAAAGTAAGGCAAGAATTCAGTGAGGAACTAGCCCACTCCAAGATCAGTGCCAGCATTTGCATGGTGGCACAAGATCTCAGGATAGTGTAGCTGATAGGGGAGCAATCCTGTGTGTGAAGTGTCCATGGTTTTCAGCAACCTAATTATAATTTCAGTATGAGCACCATTACGTTTATCTAAAATTTAAAATATCCAAGCAAAACTTGGAAAGCTGGCTATAATTGATGCTTGTTTCCATGGCAAAGTAAGAATCTGTTTGGTTCAATATAGCCATGTGCATCCCAGCTTCCTTTCCACAATAAGAAAGATTATGCAATGTATAAAGAGAAAGAAATAGAAAACTAACAAAATTAAGTTGTAAGAAAAAGAAAAGGAAACAGCTCGATTTAGTTTACATCAACACTTCCCCATACCTTTCTAGCCTAGCAAACTATGCTTGCTTTCATAAAATCCATGCTTAGCTTCAGGCATTATTGTGCCACTTTATACATTTTCACTGTGTTCCAGGCAAATTCCAAATCTTCCTCTATATCCAACTCTCATTAGTTTTATTGGGAGGTTAATCTATTTTCTAATACTCTTCATGTAGGACTTAAGCTTCCTTTTTGTACAATTATTCTACTGTTTTTAACAGTTTATTCATATATTTTCCTTAACATACATAAGTGCTTTATGAACAGTATAATGTCTGGGTTAATTTGCTTAAATAATAGTATATAATATAACAACATATTAAACATAAAACATACAGAATAGCATTTTTCCAATTTCTAATTTCTACTTCTATGGTCCAAACCATTGATAAAATAAATCCCATGTTTGAAAATATTCTGTATCTTCTTTATCTTTTATCTTTAATGTCAACCTATCCATTTCTGCACAATCTAGTATTTTTTTAATTACATCTTCTTCTATGGGTGGTTCCTCATTTTTCCAGTGTTGTATATATACAAATCTTGCTGTCATCAAGACATGTAATATTAAGTATATATTCCCTTTCTTGTATTTTTCTGGTATTATGCCTAACATAAATATTTCTGCTTATACTCTATGTGTTGCTTTAACATTTTTTATAACAAGGTATGTATTTTTGTCCAATGTTTTTTCCTTTGCACATGTCCACTAGATATAATAATATGTGCCTGGTGTTGTACAATTATTCTACTATTTTTAAGAACATGTTTTATTGATTTTTTTTTTAAAGGACAATAAGATAATACAAACTAAACTCACTAGGGGAAAGAAAAATAAAGGCAGAACAAAAAATGAAAGAAAGAAAGAAAGAAAGAAAGAAAGAAAGAAAGAAAGAAAGAA